TGTTAGTGTTCACACACACATTTGCCCTTTGCACCAAAACACCCCAGAGATGACAGACCTGCTTTGTAGGAGTAAATCCAGGCACATGTGTGAGTACAGAGATAAAGCTGGTTTATTCACCAATCTCCAGTGCTCTGCACTACACTTCTACATCTAGTTTCCTCCAGCAGGATTAAAAACCATCACATTACAATATGGTGGCCTTACCAGGATGGGTCAGTATCATGCATTGTGGTAAAGTATTACGTGTATAAGCAGAACATATTTAGACAACTCACTGAACTGGACGATAGCTCAAGAATGTATTTAGGTTAAATCAAGTTATGTGGAAATCAACTTTGCCATTTTCCCTCCCTCTTCTGCTTGTTTTTTTTTCCCCACATCAGGTAACGGGGGAAAAAACAAATTCCCCCCTCCCTCTTAAGAAATTAACTTCTCTTAGATAATTTCTGATTTATTTTTTTTTTTTTTTTTGCAGCTAAGCTGAACCACAAGGCAGAAGGAAAAAAGGGAAACAAAAATAAAAGAATCTGTTAAAAATTATGCTTTTTCCCTTCCCCCAAACTGTGAAGATTAAAATAGTGACTGCTTCTATCAAATGTCTTAGATCACAGCTTTCACTAAACAGACTATTCAAGCCACATTTCCATTATTCTCATCACTTATATAACGGTGACTGATTTTTATCATTATTCTTTGTATATATACACCCCTTATTGCTCTACGGTAGGAAACAGGTCCCCTGCCCCATTCCCAACCATAACAGATAAATAACTTTAGCTCAGTGTCTAAGACAATGTGTTTTCTCAAAGGAGCCTTTTCTGTTTGGCCAACAACAGTACAAAAAATATGTTGTTGTGGCATGTGCCAGCCAATAAATTCTGTCACTGGGGATCTTCACTTATTTACATGGAGTCATCTGCTTAACATTGTCTTTAGAAGACAAAAGAGTTTGAATATTATAAAGAGCTCTTACAATATGAAGGGCAACTGTAATGAATTGATAAGGTAAAACATGTTACCAACTCAGAAACCCTTATAAAAGGAGGAGAACATATATCTGCTTCTCTGCTTCAGCCCATATTTCATGTTAATGGTCCAGCTTCCTTGTTGTGATTATGACATACTGCTCCTTGCATTTATCTTCTCTATCCTAAAACCTCCTTGTAAAAATACTGTATAGCAATATGCCACTCACTCCAAAAACATATTTTCTTTTTTAAAAAAGTCTTGTATCAGAAAAAGGAGAAATCCAGCAAACTGAACAGGACCAAGCACTAGTAGTGGCTAAGTTGGCAACTCTGAGTACGGCACTGGTCATTTCCCAAGCCCTGGCTTAATTTTCTCAGTAGTAACACTGGGGTTGCAATATTTACTGTGCTATGACCTGCCAAAAGTAATTTAATTTACACTTAGAAAACGTTGAGATACTACTTGAAATGACCTAACACAAAACAAATAGAAAATGTTGCTTCAAAAAAAGAACTATTATGTTTTCCTTCTCTATGCTTCAAAGTTAGTTTTCCCTTTTTATGTACAGACAAAACTGCTTGTGAAATTTTCAAAGTTACCTCAGTGTCTTTTCCAAAAAGACTTCTGATGCTCAGGCTCTTTTGAACAGCAGCTTTTTTAGCTCCACAGTCATTTGGCATAAATAGCCTAAACTCTTCCTGGCAAATAGGATTCAACAGAACAGAGCAGCTTTCTACACAGGATGAATCTAGGAAACCAGGGTATTCCTGGCTCTACCAAAAACACTTACATCACCTGAGGAGGACAATATGGTTCTTTTGTTTTCCCCCTAGTTTTATAATAAAATATTAATTACCTATAAATATAAATAAAATATAGATTAAATAGTAAAAATACTGATCTTCTTTGTAAAGAAATCACTAATAATAACAATATATACCTTATTCTCAGAAAGTAACTTTTTTTCTTATCTTTACCATATATGGTCAGAAAGTTTTCTTGCACGAACAACCTTTCTAAGCTACAGAGCTGACTGCAAAGTGGATATACGTTGAAGGATGTGGGTATAGATCCTTGACACGTTCTGTAGTAGAGATACACACAGAGTGGGGAAATTCTGCCCTCACCAAAAGCAATAGGACTAGCGTCATCAAATTCAACAGGATCAGAAACTCAGCTCTAACCTTTACAAGGCAGCTCAATGGAGTTTAAAGGTATTTAAGAAAAAATCCAACCTCTAATCTTAAATACCCTTTGAAATTTGAAGTGTCTTCTGAACTGTTGATTCTGAACAAGAAAACTACTGCAGCGGTAACACAAGACGACAGAAGGAAAAGGAATGACAAAAGAGAGAAAAGAGAAACAGTAATTTCCATCCCAGCTCCATCTAGGCTAGCTTATCTACTGGGAACACCTCTTCTGGGAGAAACTCCTATTGACATTACTGAAGCATGGGACAATACAATGAAAATGAGCTCAAGATCTGGAAAGTAGCTCTAACCATAGTCTAAAAACCATAGTTCATTATTATTAAAATGTTTAAATGTGAGCTAAGAGAACGGGTGTGCAGTTGCCCATCTCCAGAGGCCACCTCTGAATGGAGTCGGTGCTCAGCGTTGTGTGAAGATGACACAAGCTGCTCTACAGTGACTTCTCTGAAACTTTCTTTTTCCTTTAACTAGCAAAATAATTAGTTAGTAATCCTGATCTTAGAAGCTTAGAGAAGAAAAATTTAGGACATTTCCATCAGAACATATCTCCGTAATTGAATAACTTTCTAGACTCTCTAGTTAAAGTTTACATAACTGTTAATGACTCTGAAGCAATCAGAAATGTTTTGCCAAGGGGAAATCAACAGTGTATTAAGATAGCTCAGTATTATTGCTGAATGCTAAAGGCAGCTTTTAAAGATCATATGTTTACAAACTGAAGAAATTAGATACATTTGATCATTCTGAAAAGTAGACTGACATCTTTAATGCCATTTTTCTTCTATCTGTATGGAACAATATGTCCTTTACATTACATATATATCAATGAGTATGGTGAGCTTTCAGATTTTACCAATTTTCTACAAAATACTGATGTTCCTCTCTGAAATAAACTCTTATGACAAACAATCTTTTTATAATATCATGCATATTATGAGCTGCAATCCCAGGGTTTTTTTGATATACATATATATACATATTTTTGAGTACAGTAGTGATACATTTTGATAAGTCATAATAGAAACCTTTTCATATTTTTCAGCGATGTAAATCATTTGCCTTCTTGACATGTCTTTCTACTTCATCCCATACTGCAGTGTTCTATACAGAAACAATACGGTGTCTAACAAATTACTTCCTCCTTTGACTTATCCCATAGGGGTGCAAATGTACCCACCTACCTTCCTGAAATCTCCCCAAAAATCCTGTATGTTGGGTTCAGAAAAACAAGGAATTTGGGCACAATTCTGTGGCACTGATTCCCTGACATTTTTATCAGGAGCATCAACCATCCATGCATTAGACTTTAAATCAGTGAAATATCCATTTACAGCAGTTAGAGCAATATGAGACATTGCACATGGCTAACAAGTGAAGAAACTGGAAACAGATTACCTAAAACAGCAAATCCAAACCGAAGCTGGCTTTTTGAGAAGATCACAGATTTCTGGATATTCTTCCATCCAGAATGTTTCTCAAGATTTTTAATTTAGAATTGTATCCTTCATGATATTGCAAGGCACAAATATCCATCGAATTCAGTGTATATTTTGGGCATGAGGGATGGAGTTTCCCTAGCAGGTCACGTGAAAATCATTTTTAATTGATATTCCACTTGATTGCACTGGAGTTTAATGCTGATGGCAAAACCTAAAGCACAAGTCTCATCCAAAACCCTTTGGAATCAATGTGATTCTTAACACTAACTTCAGTGAAGCCAGGATTTCTGTCTAAATGTTTTTTAAATAAAATGCATAGGTTATTTCTAGATCATTCTGATTACCTCTAGGATTCTGCCAAAGTAAACTATGACAGGTTGCCTGTTGCCCAGCACAGTTTCTGTGAATCCCAAAAGCTTACACTTTGCATATAACAATTCTATCCAATAAAAAAATAGCATGAAGTGACTTCCAAAATTCAAAGGTCAAAAATTCAGCTAACATATATTAATCTTTATTATGTAACAATGATATAATAAATAAGTTTATGAATTCATATGATCTGTACAAAAAGCCAGAAAGATATTGCACCAAGTTAGGTACCGGCTATTTGGATTTAATATTTGTTAAACATAGGATCTAAAATTATATACAGTTGTGGAGTTAAGGCAAAACGAGATGATACAACAGAAGGTTTGAAAAATAGACGTAATTACAAACAAGGGGATCTCATCTCCAGCTAATAAAGTGGTTGTGTCTAAGGAAGGAATCCTTTAGTTTTTTAACAAAGCAGTTATTATCAATCATGTTAATTAAAATTGAAGAACAAGTGTGAGATTTCTTACAGGGCAAAGCTGTTTTGCAAAGTTGTGCCAAAATGATCATCTTTAACCCTGGTAAGAATATTTTTCTTGGTGGTTATAGCCTGCTCTTCTTTTTAGAAAACAGCACATGGAAAAGAGGAATACCTCACATATCCAACTGAAATACAAGCGTAACCTCTCAGCTTTATGTCAGCTAGACTTGATTGTGACCAGTGACAGAGCATAAATATATGGGTGAACCATCCAACACACTACACGCAGAGGAGAATTAAAGTCGACCACTTATCAATAATAATTACCTTTCTCAAGACAATGGAATAGATCATGTCAGTTAAGTCCCAATGACAAAAAACATGTATGACCAATATATCAATATACAGTTCTTTGGCAGCAACACACTAACTCTTGATTGAAGTCTGAACTCAAACTCTCCTAAATTATAGACCTGGTTGCCAGTCTTTCCTTAATTAAAGAAAATCCACTTCTCCCATGAATCCAGTAAGTCCAGTAAATCAAATCTGAATAAATCTTGCAGGCAGCTTTAGACTGTGACATCAAGCATAGATATTCATTGTCTGCTTTAGTCTCAATCCAAATATATCGTATTTAAACACACAAAATTCTGTTAAACTTCTGAGTAGTTCAGATGGGGCCAAAATCCATAGAGAGAGAGAATCCATATTCACCCATGAAAAACCAATAAAGAAACATCAATCCCATGATGATAAAATGATCTTCATGTAACAGAGGCAAAGATGAGTCCACACCTGGATGAATGTCACAGGAAAATTGACTTTACAGAGGAAAGACCAGAAAGCCAGAAAACGTAGAATACTGCCATCCACCGACCAGATTACCTTTCTCCAATTTCAGGTAAACCTTATCCTCCTTGTCTAGATAGAGAAGGACTCCGTTAGTGGCAGCTTCACGCGTGACGTCCTTGTCCCCAGCAAAAGCAGAAATGACTGGCTTTCCATTTAGCATCAAATTAACCTACAAGAAAAAAAACACTGAAAAGCTCTAATTAACAGAAAAATATCAAGGACTATCACTGAATATTAACTACAGTGTAAGAGGTCTGCTAAAGTCCCGATCTTCACTGCTTTGTTGCTGTTGTTGTTGTTTAAAACTAATAATTACATTTATTTGGAGTGTACAAGCACATTAACGTTTCATGGGCTTGACTTGCAGCTGAATGAAGTCAGTGGGACACTGCCCGCTGCGTGCCATGGTCCAGGCTCAATCAGTGTGAAAGGTAACACGACTTTGCTTTCATCTGTTGCTTGGGCACACTAGTTGTTGTGACTGTCTGGTAATACGGAACTGTGAGCAGTTCAGATGGGGCCAAAATCCATAAAGAGAATCCGTATTCACCCATGAAACCTCAGTTGGTTTTACTTCGCCTACCTCACGTGTTATTTAGATGCACACTAGCAAAGAAGACATTTTCAAGAAGCTTAGGCACCCAGAGATGCGATGTAGGCACCTAATGAGATGTCAAAGGTACTGCAGTAGGCTGGGAGCTCACACTTCACTGAGAACAAGTCCTTCCCATTACTGACAGCAGCTTAGTTTTAAAGTCTAGAGCAGACCTTTAGCTTTATAAACCACTGCACTGTGTTTTGGCACTGAATTCATTTTTTCTACAAAACACTTCTGAAAGCCAGCACAGCCTCTGCTCTGAAAGCAACATCACACAGACACTCTGTAAATAAAGATGGGCAGGAGCTGGGGGAATGGACAGATCCAGGCATTTTTCATTTCCCCAATGGCAAACTATTAGCTTTCTTCTGTTTTGTTTTTTTTTTTTTAAGCAGCTCTAATGCAGCCACAGAGGGATGAATTATGAAATGCTTATTCATATCAAGTATGCTGGCCTTGCATATGCTCACATTAATTTTAATGGGAGTCACCATGGAATAAATTAGTGCTCAGCATAAGTCAGGGCAGCAGAATCTGGCCCTGATTTGAGACTCGCCTATCTGGGAAATCCACTTAATCAGGTGTCCCCAGGGAACCAATTTCTGTTTAATGATATTTAATGGTACTAACAGATGTTCCAGGGGCATAGTAATATCACTTACGTAGGGAGCCTTCAGGTGATTTAGTGGTGTTTAAGTCTGCACGTGGCTGAGACTCAAGCTGGTTTGCTCCAGTGCAATGGCTTTCAGTGTCCCCCTCCCCGCCCCGAGTTATCACACATGTGAAAAAGGGCATCAGGAGTTTATTCATTGCTTGGTTTTGGTTTATCTCACTCCTTCTGTAGCATCTCTCTGGGTCAGGTTTCCCTGCAGATCACCTTACAGCTATTTCAGTCACAGTAGAAGACACAGCACAGGTTTGCACCAGACGGTCTCACGTTAACTATGTAAAAATTGAGCCAACAAAATCCATCCATCACTTTAGAAACTCTTGATCTATGAAAGATTTCCGGTCATGTGGCAGGTTGTAACATCCCCTGTTACAAGCTCCAGACTCCCATACCAGATACTTGAGTATCTGGTATGTGAGACACCAAAGTCTGCACTGGACTTCCAAGCTTTGACATCTTTCTTGGCAATATGTAATTTAACTCCAATGAGGCTGGTTGACATACAGTTATTCTAGGCCATTTCAACCTTCAGCATTTAAGAGAGTGAAAGGAACAAAGTTTGAGCATATTAAATAGCTTATAAGCTCATAAGCTTCATAATCATTGAGATTTTTCATGAGGTCAGTATTTAATCTAAGACGTTTGCCATTGACCTGAATGGAATCATGATTTCCTGTTGTAAACTGAAGGCAAATTTCACCAGGGATGTGAATGTGTCTCGCACCAGCTTCCTCTGCCATCTTTACCATTTACACTTTTCTCAGGAGCTTTACTGGCAACCCAAAGCCAGAGCTGCCACAAGAAACAGCTGATCACTCCTCCTACAGAAACCAGTTTCATCTCAGTTTTGTACCCTGAAAACCATGTTCAGGAGCAAGAGAGATCAGAGGAAAAGCATCAAATACTTCCATGAATCTGGTGGTCTCATGAGTGGAAACAAAGGAAGCCACAGATGTTATTCCAGATCTAGAAAGCCAGTATGGATGTCACAGAAATTGCATGACCTGGCATGAAGATTAAGCAATATACTTTAAGGAATTTACCCTTGGCTCAGCAAGGGGATGTTCAGGAATTTAGAGGCTTTTCATCAAAGCTAGTAGGTACTTGTATTTAATTAGGTAGTTCAGCTGCTATTAAGCTACAGAAGAAAGTGCAGAATCACTCCTTTTTTTTTTTTTAATATATGACACATCTTTTATATATTAGAAGGTGAAAAAAAGTTTAAATTGCTATAAAGGTTCCCTAGAAGACAGCCCCATAGAGACATAGCATTTTGGTGTAGTATAGAACAAGCAGACCACCTAAACTAACCCTGGTCCACAGAGATTGGTATCATAAACAGATACCTGGCGTCACGAGCTGTCAGCCATGTTACAAAAATAACCAAATCTGGTCCATAACCCCAGAACTCCTGTGTTCAAGACACCGAGTTTAACCTGCAGCAAAATACGACCCTTCAATAGTATTTATGGAATTAAGTGAAACTGAGAGCTCTGTTTTACTCTTGGGTGATTCATTCTATTTAATACTTTCTGTCACCCCAGACATCCAGTTCCTATGGTACAGAAGGGAAGCTGTGGCAATTTATCTGAGGTGAGGATCTTGCCTTATTACAGCTGTTCAGTTTAAATGTATTCACTCTGCTGCTAGGAACTTGACACCACAGGTTGCTTTGAATTAAGCTATTTTTCCTTGAAAGTTTTTTTTAAATACTCTTGTGTTCAGTCAAGATCCTATTCTAAATAAACAATTTCAGTAAAAGAATTTATAGTCATACTTGATCAACGTACCTGAATTGTTTGACTCTGATAGACTTTAATTACGTGAAAACTGAAACTGTAAATTCCTTTTCGTGGTGCTACAAAGACAGACTCCAACGTGAAAAAATTGCCCACATTTACTAGGATCTACAAACAAAAAATATAGTATGGAAATTAGTACAGGTATTCAGTGCTAAATAAAAAATACAGACTATTAACTTTAGAAACCTTTCACCCATGGAATTTTTTTAATCCACATCTATCCTGTTTTATTCATTGTCTCAATTAAGTTGGAATATTACTCATAATAATGGATATTTAGTTATATTTATAGTACAACTTTACTATAAATAAACTAGGGTGGAAAATATTTCTTACTTTGCTACTATATCATACCTTCAAGACCTTTCTTCTGTACATGTTTAGAGAATATTAAGAAATAGCATTTTGGTTCACCATTCCCTAAAAACAACATCAAAACACTGGTTCAGGGAGTGGCATACTGGTTTTGGCTAAAAAGCAATGGTCAAGTCGACAGCATCTTCCTGAAAGCCTCACGCTGCGAGAGGAAGGATGTACGTGAGTGATACAAATCACTCACAGGTTTGTAGTCTGACTGTTACTGACGTATCCGAGCCGAAACCGGCTGGGAGCTTGCGCTGCTCTATGTGGTTTTGTAAGCACTAATAATAATTTGGGTTTGATTAAAGAGAGACAAGTAACAGAGGGGAACATATTAAATGAGGGCATCATCCATATGCTAAACATCCTCTTTAATGACTACATTTTTCTTTCTTTCTATTTAGTTCTGCTTTATTTTTAACTGATATTTTCAGGCTCCTTTATGCCAGACCCAGCCCTAGAAAGCCACTAGGAATGCCCATGAAGTTCAAGTGAGGTACTCCACTTGCACTAAGCTATGTGACATATCGGGCTGCACTTGTCACAACAACTTACTGTTCGTTATGACATGATACAGGAAGCAAAATAACGGTCAGTCTGGATTACCTTGGGCTTGCCCTGGGACAGGAGCTGGTGTGGGAAACCTGTGCGAGCAGCTCTGTGTTAGTGACTGAGGTGAGAGGGGCTGCGCTATGAACCTGCGACTGTTATAGAAAATTTAAATGATTTTTCCTTAAAATTCGGTCCTTTTTTCCCCTCTCAGAGGCTGCACAACCCGTCTAAAATCTACATGGGCTGCTCGCCCCTGAGAACACCCGGTCCCCAGGCCCCGGGGACGTGTCCCCGCCCGGCGCTCAGTGAGCCACGACCT